CTCATGGCCCACAGCGACGCCGAGATCCTCAAGAGCAAGAAGAAGGGCATCTTCCGGCGCTCGCTGCTGAGCGGGCTCAAGCTCCGCAAGTCCGAGTCCAAGAGCTCCTTGGCCAGCCAGCGGAGCAAGCAGAGCTCGTTCCGGAGTGAGGCCGGCATGAGCACGGTCAGCTCCACCGCCAGCGACATCAACTCCACCATCAGCCTGGGCGAGGGCGAGGCCGAGCTCTCGGTCATCGAAGACGACATCGATGCCACCACCACCGAGATCTACGTGGGCGAGTGGAAGAACGACAAGCGCTCGGGCTCGGGCGTGAGCCAGCGCTCGGACGGGCTCAAGTACGAGGGCGAGTGGGCCAACAACAAGCGCCACGGCTACGGCTGCATGACCTTCCCCGACGGCACCAAGGAGGAGGGCAAGTACAAGCAGAACATCCTGGTCAGCGGCAAGAGGAAGAACCTCATCCCGCTGCGCGCCAGCAAGATCCGGGAGAAGGTGGATCGGGCCGTGGAGGCGGCCGAGAGGGCGGCCACCATCGCCAAGCAGAAAGCGGAGATCGCGGCATCCAGGTAAGGGGGTTCCTGTCCAGCCTGATGTGTCTGAGCTGGGATCCCGCCCTGGGGACTTGGGATAAATGGGATAAGGGTTTTTGTTGTAGTAGGGCTGCTGCTGGAGGAGAGCAACTCGTGGTGGGCACCTGCAGGTTGGTGCTACGTGGACCTCACAGCAGCCTTGGGCTTGCCCAAGCCTTGGGGTGCTGTTCAAAACAGGGTGTATCCAAGCCCAGTTGTCCCTCTGGTAATTCCCAGGGGACTGGGGATGCACAACATCCCCAGGCAAGGCGGAGACGCCATGCAGGGTCACCAGAGCAGGGCAGCCTGGGCAGGGGTGGTGGCACCTTGGTGGCTGTCACAGGCTGATAGCTGTCACTTAGGGGGTACTGGGTTTTTTATCCCATTTTTCCCTCTCCTCTTGGATAAGCAGAAGAGCTCCTGAGGTGCTGTTTGCTTGCATCCTCTGCCTGACTCATAGCCAAGAGGAACTATCCCAGAGCTGGCCTGTGCCGGGAGGATTCACAGTTATTTCCATTCCCAAAAGGGTTTTTGAATGGAAAACCTGCCCAATATGTGGCTTCAGCCCTGGGGAGGGCTTGCCCTGGCTGAGGCTGTGCTGGAAAACAGCAGATCTGGGTGCCTGACAATGCCCCTTCTTCCTGTGCAGCCCTCATGGAACTGCTCAGAGATCCAGAGCTGGGATCTGACCCGGCTGAAAACCAGCAGGAGGGAAGGGGATAACGAGCAATGTTTAATTAAAGTGTCAATAAGGTCCCTGCTCAAAGCTGGACCAGCTCAAGTGCCCTGTAGCTGGTTCCCAACAGGCACCTGGAGCTCTGTGCCTTGCAGGAAGCTCCCAGACCAGCGGAGAGGCGAGGAGGAAAAGCTCCTCTGGAGAATTCAGGGCTCTTTGTATCACATTTTGGGATGGTTTATTAGAGCATGTCATTCCTTTTCATTTTCTGAGCAAGAACTATATTTAGCAGCCAGGCTGGGAAAACAGGCTGGGGTTAGGGGAAAAACCCAGGTACCTCCTCAGCCTCCTGTGCTGGATTAATTGCTGGGTCTGGGATATTTGTATGCAGAGTCACACTCGAAATCTTTATCAGCACGTCTGCCAAGGGCTTATCTGCAATATGAATGAGCCTCCCAGGCCTGCTTCGGGAGCACATTTGGGCTTGATGATGTTTTTGAGCTGATGGCTGGAAAAAAAATTTAAAATCCCACTAGAATGCCAGGTAGGAACAGACTGCAGAGGAGTGTGAAGACCAGATCCTTCCCTGTGATCTGGGGATGGATGGGAATGCCTCGAAAGGCTGGAATCCTGGAAGTGTGGAGCTCTGGTGTGCTGTGGGATGGATCCTGGAAATGTGGAGCTCCAGTCTGCCATGGGCTGCTGGGTCTGAGGACCTGAGCATCCTCTGTCCCAGGTGGTGATGATCCTGGAACACCACGAGAGTGGGATTGGAAGAGATGCTTAGAGAGCTCTTGGCATCTAATATTCCACCTCTAATTATGGGAGAAAGGGGGAAAAACTCAAGTCAGGAATGCCAGGCGTGAACACCCCCCTGCCCTGCACTGACTGGGTGGTCCAGGGCTCTGCTGGAGAGCAGCAGGGAGGGTGGAGGATGGAGAGCTGGAGATGGATGGGATTAGGTGGGTCCATGGAAGGATTCCTTCCCAATATCCCATGTAAATCTCTGCTCTTTTACCTTAAACCGCTTTGTCTGAAGCCTCCAATCCCTCAGCTCGGGCTCTCCCCCCTCGCGAGGGTTTTGGCAGAGTCCCTGAGCCTGCAAAACCAGAGCAGAGCAAGGTTTTACATACTGAGATCCAGCTGGAAAAGCTTTCTTATTAATCTTAGTCCGATTAATTTTAAAGCTTCCTAATGAAAGAACCCTCCCCTGCAGTGCCCACACCAAACTGCATCGTCCAAAACGCCACCAAACTGACCTGGGGGAGAATCCTGGTGCTGATTCCCGAGGTTTTGGGACTCAGGGGTGGAATATCCCCCCTCTAATGCCAACATAAACTCCGATTTCCCGGCACCTGGCATGGCTGTGCATGTGTGTGTGTGTATTCTTTTCTATCTGATCATCCTGAGTTCACTCTGCAGCCTTTCCCTTGGTGGGGGGAAAAATAAAAATAAAATAAATATGTGCCCACCCACGGCTTTCATTAAATTTGTAGGAATTCAGTATTTTTGAAAACTCTGCCGCTCTGTCAGATTTGGTTGGAATTGGCCAACACGTTCAAAAGTTATTAGTGTGGGAGTGATGGCATATAGATATATAAACAGCACAATCACAGGAGTGAGCCCCATTTCCTGAGGAAAGTAGGCTAAAAGCACAGTGTGCTGGAGACAACTAAATTGCTCTCCTAAAGTTGTTGGAGTGTGACTAGAGCACAGTGATACCTGCACATTTAAGGCATCTCTTTTAGGGTGGAGAGGAGATTCTCCTAAATTGTCTTTGCTGTAATTAAAATGGGAGAATGCATCATTCCCTTGATTGGAATCATGGAAATCATCCATGATTGGATGGAGTTGTTCAGGTGAGGTGAAAGGGGAAGAAGGGATGTGAATGAGGGATGAGGAACTCCTCTTGACAACAGCTGGCCCATCCCTGGAAGTGTTCAAGGCCAGGAGAAAATTTGGAGCAGCCTGGCATAGGGAAGGTGTCCCTGCCCAGGGCAAGGATGGAGCTGGATGAACTTTGAGGTCCCTTCCAACCCAAATCTTTCCGTGATTCCATGAAAAGGAGGGAGACAAGGAGGGTTCTCTGAGTGCTCTGGGAGATCTTCATTCCCTCTCAAATCAGCCAAGAGCCAGAACTCTTTCTGCTGCCACCCTGGAAGGATGAAGGATGAGCTGGACACCCCGAGTCCCATCTCATTAGTGCTAATTGAAACCTCAGGCAAACTTTCTGTAGGCACTGGTGTGTCATCATCCACTAAAATAAAATATCCAGGCAACAAAGGTGGGCCAGGGAGCTCATCCCAGCCCCTGGTTTTTGGCACAGCAGCCTGCTGTGAAGGATGGACACACAGGGAGAGTCAGGGGAGATCAGGGCTGACTCCAGCTCTCCAGGATGGATGGTGGCAGGTGTAAAGCAAAGCAGAAGGACCCCACATCTCTCCAGGCTTTCCTCTCTCCAGCACAAGCTGCACCGGGGATCTGCTGTGCAGCACCTTAAATCAGAATTCCTGGGAGCAGCCAGTGCCCCGGCTCCCAGAGGGAATGCTGCTCCCAGGTCAGTCCTAAGTAATGCTCCTCCTGGCATAATTATAGCTGAGCCTTGCACCAACCAGGAGAAAAATATAATTAAAGCTCCACGGTCTCAGGAGGAGCTGGGCCGCAAATTAGCACCGTGTCACTCAACTTCAGGCAGGGAAACTGGAGGGAAATAGGAAAAGGAAGCAAATAAAGGCAAGCTGGCAGCGAGGAGGGGAGAAGGGGGATGTTTGGGCTAGGCCTGGATGCTCCCTCAGGAGGCCGCAGCGAGGGTGAGGCAGCGGCTGACGTGGGGCAGGGAGCAGGCGGGCAGGAAAAGCCCCCGAGAGCTGAGCAGCAAAGTGCAGGAGGTTCTTAGAGCCAAACAGGTATTTTCTTGAGAAAAATGGAAAGGCAGGCCGGGCAAAGCCCAGAGAAAAGCGGAGCCGTGCTCTGCGAGCGGCGGTAATGTCCCCACCGGCGCTCCCCGGCCCCGGTAATGCTGCTGCTTAATGCTCTGCCAGGCCTCAGCCTGCAGCTCTGCCATTGTCTGGGCTGCCTTTGATTTCGGGTTGCTGCCGCTTTTTGGGTGCCTGGGGGGGCTGGCTGCTGAGCCTCATCCCGCTCCTGCTGCCCCAGGGGCTCCTGCTGCGGATGGAGAGGGAGGAGGGGTGGAGGGGTGGGGGTTAAGGCCCCCAAAAGGGTTTTGTGTCCCCTGCCTTGGGTCAGGACAGCAGGGACAAACAAAGCCAGACGGGGCAGAGCTGAGCTGGCTGCAGGGATGGGGCTGGGGCAGGGTGTCCCACCAGCCCCTCTCTGGGCAGCTTTGAGTGCAGGGGGGATTCCTCTGTTTGGAGAAGTGCTGCTGTTCCCTGCTGAGGCCCTGCCAGCCAGCTGGAGCTCTGGAATTGCAGGAGTCGCCTGACGGGGCCACTGAGGGCACCACCTGGAGCCCAGCAGGTCTCGTGTGGGGTGAATGTGCTCCCTCCATCCCTTCCCAGTCCCTCCATGCTTTCCTTGAGAGTCAGGGAGGGAAACACAGAGGGGATGGAGGGATGGATGGATGGATGGATGGATGGATGGATGGATGGATGGATGGATGGACGGACTCAAAGGCTGAGAGCAGCAGGGGCGGGAGGTGATTCTCTTCACAGTGCCTTTTCCTTGCTTCCCAATCCAAGAGGAGCAAAGCCTGGGCTGGCAGCTTCCACCAGGCTCTGCTGCTGATGGAACTGAGCATTCCCTCCTTCCCTGCCACTTCCCTGCCACCTCCCTCCCAGCTCCTGCCCGTGCTGACGGGGGTCAGGGGACACAGTCAGGGTGGGCTGTCATTCCTGCCGGTGGTGTGTCCTGCCAGCCGGGATGACAAGGACACATCAGACTCGGGGCAGGCACATTCCCACTCCAGTCCAGCCCCTCCAGGCTCAGCCATCCCGGAGTGTTCCAGCCCCCCTCCCCACGTCCTGCGCGATGTGATGTGGGCACCGTGGCTGTTTACGTGCTCCTGCCATCCCAATTTAATAACTTCCTGCTCAGACAGGATTTGCAGCCTTAAGCCCTTTTGTGGCCGTGTCAGAAGTCAGGAGCGGCCTCCAGGCTTGCTCAGGGCTCGGTGTGTCCCCAGCAGCCACCCCAGCACGGGCTGCGTCCAGGCCAGGCTGGACAATGAAGTGCCTTCTATAGGAATGAAGCTTGGCGAGGTGATCCAGCTGGGAAAACCTCAGCAGGGTCATTTGTCTCTTCTGGCAGAGCAGCTCAGTGGGGTTTTGGTTTTCATTGCCCTCCCATCCCTCACGCATCACCG